CTTTAAGAAAGGCATAAAGGTAATGGGTTTCCCAGAAGGAAAGGAGCACAAGGGAGCAGAGAATTTATTTAAAGACATGATAGCTGAGAACTTCTTAAGCCTGAGGAAGGGACTTGACATTTAAGTTCATGAAGCAAACTGTTTGCTTTGAATATTTGCCTGACTGATGAAAGGCACAGTTGCAAAAATCCATTTGTTGACCATTTAATGACATTATTTTTTAAATTCTTTAAAACTGTTTAGCATCTGGTTTATTTATTTAGGAAGTCTTTTTCTTTTTTCTTTTTCACTGAAATTATACAACAGTTTATTCTGTGTGTCAAACTCAGGTTTTCTCAGAAAAAAATTCTATCAAAATTCCTAAATATTTAGCAAGAGAGGACCTGAATTGCATAGGATGGCTGCTTCCTTACTTTGGGGTTATAATCACTGTTATTGTAGACTTACTGTGGTTTTTTCACAGCCTTGAAGACAGTTTGGAGAAGGAAAAAATGCAAATGATTTCAAAGTTCTCTTCCATGGACAATATACAGTTTCCGGCAAATCAATCCAAATATATCCAGACCAAGAAGCTCCATCTGGAATCATTTAGTCACTGAGTTTGGCTTTTGGTTTCAGTTTCCTTCAGGGACATTTCAAAAACCCCTTTCACTTTGCATTTCTGTTTCATATTCTAATCCTTTGTCCTCTGGCAGAGTGGGGTGAAGAGAAAAGAAATCCCTAGGATTGGTAAGGAAAAAAGATATCAGAAACCAACACAAATAAACTAAGAGAAGGAGCGAGAACTCAAGTTTTCAATGAAGCAGCTTTCTGAACAGCTGTAAAAGATTTTTGCTACTGAACTTACAGTTAAGGTAATACCGGGGGAAGGGTGGGAAAATGTTTGCAAGGGGCGGGATGTTTTAAAAAAGCCATTCATGGACCTGTGGAACAGTAGGAGAAAGAGGGTGGGACGAATTGAGAAAGTAGCATGACATATATACAATATCGTGTGTAAAACAGATAGCTAGTGGGAAATTGCTATATAACACAGATGTTTTGGAGGCCGGGTTATTTGATTAACATTAAAGATGCTACCCAGATAACATCTGGTGACAATATATAAAATACTTCCACTAGTATAAATACACAGCCCTAATGTTATTTATTAAGTGGCCTGAAAATTCAGTCAATTTCATTTCCTTTCTCGTTAGTGACATCATCTCACAGCAAAAGATCTGGTAAGCTCTCAATATCTACAAATAAATTTTGATTGCTTATCTTCTGTTTTTCTAGCTAATTGTTTTAAGTCATAACTGCCAGGTCTCCATATCTTTCTAATCTAAAAATGATTGTGATTCCTGCTATAAACAAATCACACAATAGGACTCAACAAACATAAGATGCCAATATTGCTTTGGAAATGGGTTAAAGTAAAAAGAGATTTGGCCTTTGGGAATGTAAAATTATGTGGAATCCTCTCTTTTTGGATCTGGCTTGGACTGGGCATTTCTAGCTCCCATGTCCTGGGGCTATGTTATTTGCAATGGATCTCTTATCTGCTCCCAAGCAGTTTCTATTTATCTGTCACCTGGATAATCTCTGGGGCATTGGCAATTAAGGAAAGGGGGAAATGGGTCTTCACACTTTTTAAAAAAGGAATTTTCACTTTAGATAACAAGGGAATCCAGACCTTTTTATTGTAGGATATCCCTTAAAAAAAGGCAAGCAGATGGTGAGATTTTTAACTTCTGTTGTAAATAATCACTTCTAAAATGGAAGATAATCATTCTTTATAATATGGCAAGGCAGAAAAGCAAGCATTTGTATACATTTCAGATAGCTTTAAAACTGTTTTATCAGGGATTCTTTAGGTTACAAGAATTAACATTAAGAAATTAGAAAATAGCTGTTACAGTGAAGGCAGTTTGGGGAACCAGCTGGGGTGTCAGGAATACCAATTGATGATTTTCAATGGACCATTCTGAAGAGCTATTAAGTTCAGACATACTAAACAAAAAAGAAAATGCTGCCACAAGAGTTCTCAATTGCTAAAAATGAATCAAACATATATATATATATATATATATATTTTTTTTTTCTGATTGAATAACACATATTAATAGTTATATAAAAATTCTTTAAAAGTAAAGCTTTAAGAAGTAAACAATTACTATTTGCTAGACAATGGTACATAAGGACCTGGCAGGATTTAGTTTAACGCATTTTGGCTGGACATAGTCCTAAATGAGAGAAAAGCAGGTTGATATTGGGTAAAGGAAAAAAGTGTAATAGAACAAATAGTGGTCATAAATATTCAATCTTGGGATTCAGGGAGATACAAACTAAGAAACATAACCAAGACAAAAGCCAATGGAGAAAAGCGAGACTCAAACTAGCAGTAGTTTAGATTCAGAGAATGCTTTTTTATACATTCACCAAATACTTAAGAACCAGTGGGGCAGTCTCTAGTAGAACTCTGAAGGGCCTCAGTTCAGTTCAGTAGTTCAATCATGTAGGACTCTTTGCAACCCCATGGACTGCAAAACGACAGGCTTCCCTGTCCATCACCAACTCCAGGAGCTTGCTCAAACTCACGTCCATTGAGTTGGTGATGCTATCCAACCATCTCATCCTTAGTCATCCCCTTCACCTCCTGCCTTCAATCATTCCCAGCATCAGGGTCTTTTCCAATGAGTCTTCCCATCAGGTGTCCAAAGTATTGGAGTTACAGCTTCCCATCAGGTGTCCAAAGTATTGGAGTTACAGCTTCAGCATCAGTCCTTCCAATGAACATTCAGGACTCATTTCCTTTAGCATTGACTGGTTTGATCTCCTTGCAGTCCAAGGGACTCTCAAGAGTTTTCTCCAACACCACACTTCAAAAGCATTAATTCTTCACTGCTCCACTTTCTTTATAGTCCAACTCTCACATCCACACCTGAATACTGGAAAAACCATAGCTTTGACTAGACAGATATTTTTCAGCAAAATAATGTCTCTGCTTTTTAATATGCTCTCTAGGTTTGTCATAGCTTTTCTTTCTTCCAAAGAGCAAGCGTCTTTTAATTTCATAGCTGCAGTCACCATCTGCAGTGGTTTTGGAGCCCCTCCAAAAAATAAAGTCTCTCACTGTTTCCATTGTCTCCCCACCTATTTGCCAGAAAGTGATGGGACTGGATGCCATGAACTTAGTTTTCTGTATGTCGAGTTTTAAGCCAACTTTTTCACTGTCCCCTTTCACTTTCAAGAAGAGGCTCTTTAGTTCTTCTTTGTTTTCTGCCATAAGGGTGGTGTCATCTGCATATCTGAGGTTATTGATATGTCTCCCAGCAATCTTGATTCCAGCTTGTGCTTCAGCCAGCCAGGCATTTCACATGATGTACTCTGCATATAAGTTAAATAAGCAGGGTAACAATTTATAGCCTTGACATACTCCTTTCCCCATTTGGAACTAGTCTGTTATTCCATGTCCAGTTCTAACTGCTGCTTCTTGAACTGCATACAGATTTCTCAGGAGGCAGGTCAAGTGGTCTGGTATTCCCATCTCTTTAAGAATTTTCCACAGTTTGTTGTGACCCACACAGTCAAAGGCTTTGGCATAGTCAATAAAGCAGAAGTAGATGTTTTTCTGGAACTCTTTCTTTTTTGATGATCCAGCGGATGTTGGCAATTTGATCTCTGATTCCTCTGTCTTTTCTAAAATGAGCTTGAACATCTGGAAGTTCGTGGTTCACATACTGTTGAAGCCTGGCTTGGAGAATTTTGAGCATTACTTTGCTAGCATGTGAGATGAGTGCAATTGTGTGGTAGTTTGACGTTCCTTGGCATTGCCTTTTTTGGGGACTGGAATGAAAACTGACCTTTTCCAGTCCTGTGGACACTGCTGAGTTTTCCAAATTTGCTGGCATGTTGAGTGCAGCACTTTAACAGCATCATCTTTTAGGATTTGAAATAGCTCAGCTGGAATTCCATCACCTCCACTCACTTATTCATGTTGATGCTTCCTAAGGACCACTTGACTTTGCATTCCAGGATGTCTGACTCTAGGTGAGTGATCACACCATCGTGATTATCTGGGTCATGAAGATCTTTTTTGTATTGTTCTTCTGTGTATTCTTGCCACCTCTTCTTAGTATCTTCTGCTTCTGTTAGGTCCATACCATTTCAGTCCTTTATTGTGCCTATTTTTCATGAAATGTTCCCTTGGTACCTGTAATTTTCTTGAAGAAATCTCTTGTCTTTTCCATTCTATTGTTTTCCTCTATTTCTTTGCACTGATCACTGAGGAAGGCTCTCTTGTCTCTTCTGGCTATTCTTTGGAACTCTGCATTCAAATGGGTATATCTTTTCTTTTCTCCTTTGCATTTTGCTTCTCTTCTTTTCACAGGTATTTGTAAGGCCGCCTCAGACAACCATTTTGCCTTTTTGTATTTCTTTTACTTGGGGATGGTCTTGAACACTGCCTCCTGTACAATGTCATGAAACTCCATCCATAGTTCTTCCAGCACTCTATCAAATCTAATCCCTTGAATCTGTTTGTCACTTCCACCATATAATCATAAGGGATTTGATTTAGGTCATACCTGAATCGTCCAGTGGTTTCCCTACTTTCTTTAATTTAAGTCTGAATTTTGCAGTAAGGAATTCATGATCTGAGCAACAGTCAGCTCCTAGTCTTTTTTTTTTTTTTTCTGAGTCTATAGAGTTTCTCCATCTTTGGCTTCAAAGAATATAATGAATCTGATTTCTGTATTGACCATCTGATGATGTCCATGTCTAGAGTCTTCTCTTGTGTTGTTGGGTCTCGGACTTCTCTTGTGTTGAAGGGCTTGGACTTATGTTACTATGACCCTTTTTACTATCTTTTATATATTATTATTCACTTCTTCAGAAACTTAGACCATCTGGGGAGAAGTATGTCCACAGGTTGAGGAAGCAAAATGACTTTTCTCTGCTTTAAGAATAGAAACTTCAGTCTATCCCATGTCTGTCCTTGAACATCAGGTGACACTATGGACATGGCCCCATTGAATCACATGCCCGAACCCTTGTGCCTCATCGAGAACGCTAATGGGCCACTGCTGGTTAATCCAGAAGCTCTGAAGATCCTGTCTGCCATCAGACAGCCCGTTGTGGTGGTGGCTATCATGGGCCCCTACCGCACAGGCAAGTCCTACCTGATGAACAAGCTGGCTGGGAAGAAAAAGGGTGAGTGACAAGGGCAGAGCCCAGCCAAGTCCCTTCTGTCCACCCACACTCCCAGCATGCAGCACAGCAATGTGAGGAGAGGAAGTGAGAGAACTGGGAGGAATATTGAAAGCTAATGCTTGGCTCAAATCTAGCTAATGATCTGGGAGATGAAAGGTAGAGTTCTGCTTCTGATATATCACCTCATTTTTTTTCCCCTCAGTATCTACTTAAAAAATTACAGTACTTTCCAATTATAAGAAGACATCAATGAAATAACTTCTACATATGTAATTATAAGTGACTAAATTTTGATAGTATAATATTCTTGCAAAAAAAGAAATGTCAAATTTCCAGCCCTATGGTACTTGGCATTCTTATTATCGCATTCCTCTATTGTAATTCAGATCAATACAGAGTTATATTTTCTGCCATAGCCTTGCCTTGCTTTCCTTAAATGGTAGCTCACTTATTAAGACAGTCTCCAGTTTCCAGATCCACTCCTCTATTACAGCATTTTAACTCCCCCTGTAGGATTCTCAGTTGGATCTACAGTGCAGTGTAGCACGAAGGGCATCTGGATGTGGTGTGTGCCTCACCCCAAGAAACCAAACCACACCCTGGTTCTTCTTGACACTGAGGGACTCGGAGACATAGAGAAGGTAATTAACAAGAATTTCTTTTTAATCAGCCTCCTCATCCCTGAACACTCTTTACACGGGGAGTTTTTTTTTACTTCTACTTGACCAGGGTATACTTTTTTCCCCTTTCTGTTTTTAATAGCCAAATTTTAGAAACCTGAAGTGAGAAAACTAGGTGTGAAAGCCAGAATCACAATTGGGAGACTGTGCTAATGTGGAGCTAGACAGTTAACCAAACTGAAGAGAGACAGTGCAAATAAAGTCACCGTCATAAGTCTGTCCCTGCAGAGGACAGAGGTTAGCAGTGGGCTTCAGGGCAGCAGAACTTGAGTCCAAATCAGGATCCTGGTACTTGCAGCTCTTAAAACTTTGACAAACAAGAATAAGTCTCCTCAAATCTCCTATTTCCCCGTTGGTCTGATCCATTTTATCAGTTGCACAGGAGATGCATGTTATTTTTCCACTTCTATCTGGCAAGAAAAAAAGCCTTGATTTGTAGTACTTTCAAGTTTCCTAAGTGCTCCCATCACAGCTGACTCCAAGCTACCAAAGTGAAGTCACTAAACTCAAGGCTCAGAAAAGATGTACACAACCTGCTGTTGTAAGCTGGTATGAGATGGCTTGAGCACAAAACGGGATCTTTCCCTTGTATTTCTCTTGTTTTTTATGTCTTTATTTTGCTTTTGATTTACCACAAAATGATAAACCCATTTTTGCTTTAGTTTGCTTACCTGTAACATAGAGACAGTAGTTAAAACCTTATTCTCACAGCATTGAGTATTAGATAAGATCAGTAATGTGAAGTTCCCTGTGTATAATAGTTATTCAATAAAATAGATGCATGTATTATACATACAGACCAACTTTGTTCTACACAGTCAAAAATCTTGATTTTTAACTCCTCTGATTACCTTCAGTAAATTTGACTATCGATTTTGCAAATACCTAACCAGTTATAAGAGGGACTAATAAATTAACAAAATATGGTTTTATATAAAATTATCAATGCTAATAACAGAACTAAAGTTCCCATGTTTCTCACAACCATTTTAGTTTGTCCTGTTTAACATTTGTAGATCAAGGGCCTGTTTTTAGTAACTCCTCATATGGGAGCGCCATGAGACATGACTGAAATTTATTCTGACTTCTAGGGCGACAAGACAAATGACACCCATATATTTGTACTGGCACTACTATTGAGTAGTACTTTTGTATACAATACCATGAACAAAATTGACCATGGGGCTATCAACCTCTTGCAGTATCCTTTTGTGGTCCAGGATGGCACCAAAGCCAGAAAGAATTCCACCATTCACCAGCTCATGAGTCCTTGTGTATCAAACACAAAAATGAAAACACTGTGAACATTGAAAGAACAAGACGAAGTCCTTATGTTTACTGAATGCAATGAGGACTTGGTTACAACCCAAAGAGACTATAAAAGCATATGAAGGCATGGAATTAAATATGGCTCAGATGCAGTTTTCCTTAATTGTATCTTAGCTATGTGACAGAACTGTCACAACTGCTCAGAATAGATACCTCACCTGCTCTTAACGGGGTAGATGATGCAGCTGACTTTGTGAGAGTCTGTCCAGACTTAGTGTGGACTTTGAGAGATTTCTACCTTGACCTGGAAGCAAATGGGCAACTCATCACAGCAGATGAATACCTGGAGAATTCACTGAGGCCAAAGCAAGGTAACTGACTCCAATTTTGGAAAGAGGGAGAAAAGTAGCACAAGAAGTTATCTCTTGTATGTTGCTGGTTAAACTTAGAGTTTCCTATATTTACTCAGCTGACTAAGTGACCATATAAATAATTAATACTATTAATTTAAATGAACTAATAGAGTCAATATTAAATTATATTATTCCCTGTTCTTGGAGCAAACAACTTTTCCATTTTCCTTTCCCTGGTTGATCACCTTTTAAGCTTTTGCTTAGGGTTTGTGAAAATGTAGTGACACAAATAACATCAGGGAGTGAAAGTGAAAGTCGTTCAGCCGAGTCTGACTCTTTGTGACCCCATGGACTATACAGTCAATGGGATTCTCCAGCAAGAATACTGGAGTGGGTAGCCTTTCCCTTCTTCAGGGGATCTTTGTAACCTGGGATTGAACCCAGGTCTCCCACATTGCAGTCAGATTCTTTACCAGCTGAAGAAGGGAAGCCCAACATCAGGTAGAGGACACATTTATTTGTGGGGAATAGATTAAAATGAATGTAATTCGATACTAAATAAATCCTATTTTTTCCCTCCTCAGGCACCAACCAACAATTTCAGAATTTTAATCTGCCCTGTCTGTGTATACAGAAATTCTTTCCAGTAAAGAAATGCTTTATTTTTGACTTGCCCACTCACCAGAAGAAGCTTGCCCAGCTTGAGACACTGCATAATGATGATCTGGATCCTAAGTTTGTACAACAAGTGGCAGAATTCTGTTCCTACATCTTTAGCTATTCCAAGACTAAAACTCTTTCAGGAGGTATCCAGGCCAGTGGATCTCGTGAGTACCTTTTCAAGGGTTTTCCCTCAATTCAAAATAGAGAATGAGAGCACTGTTGTAATTTCTCCTTCCACTGTTAATGCTAAAAATGCATAGTCAGATACTACCAAGAAAATCATAGGTATCATATTTATTAAATATTTCAAAAAATATTTCTAGATGTTTTTAGTAATGCTTGCAAAATAAGATAAAATAGGAAGAATAACCTGAAGAAAAGGTCAAGTTAAAAAAGTTCTGCCTATAAATGATCCACTGTTGAACTAGACTAACCCGCATGGATTGGCAGCATTTGTTCCACCAATACAGTGGGTACTTGTTAAGTGCCACAGCCTTAGATAGGCAGAAAATGGGAAGACATTCATTGTAGAAATGGAACATACTTAACATAAATATTAAACAAACAGATGCCCAGATTGTCTAAAACCCTTAAAGAAATCTAAGCAGACTTCTCAATCCAATTGTTCCTAAATATTCTATGTCTTGGAACTTTGTAAATTATTGTGTGTTAGTCACTCAGTCATGTCCGCTCTTTGTGACCCCAAGGACTATAGCCCGCCAGGCTCCCCTGTCCATGGAATTTACCAGGCAAGGATACTAGAGTGGGTTGCCATTTCCTTTTCCAGGGCATCTTCCCAACCCAGGGATCAAACCCGGGTGTCCTGCATTGTAGGCAGATGCTTTACAGTCTGAGCTACTAGGGAAGTCCATATTGTAAATTATTGCTACAATCTAAAGGGAAGATGAGGGCAAATGCAAGTAGCCAAAGGCATAGGAAGACAAACAGGAAGGTTCCAACAAAGAGTAAGGTGACCTGGCTTAATCTGTCTACTCTGTGCTTTTTTGGGTGAGGGTAATACTCACACCAGCTTTACATGTTGAAGTGGAGGAGAAAAGGGAATTCTAAAGGGAATAGAAACCTGAGGAAGAGAGAAAGAAAGGGAAGAGTAAACAGGCAAAAGTTCTATAGTATTCTAAATAAATGAATACACACAAATTTGTATAACCATATTCTCATTGCTCAATTAGAAAGGGATGAAATGTGGATCATCACACAAATCTTCAGTTTTCTCCTTTGAACACTTTCCTTTCTCAGAGAATGAAATATCTGTCTTCTTGATCAGATAATTTCCAAAAGGAATTTACTTGGGCCATTTAAACACTGTGCAGAAGGCTGAATATGCTAAATTAACATTCTCAGAATGTTAATTAGTTCAGAGAATGTCCTTTTTCTCTGCAAATAATTCAAGCATCTTTCCCCCCTGTGAAGATCTATGGAACCTAGTGCAGACCTATGTCAATGCCATCAACAGTGGGGATCTGCCCTGCATGGAAAGTGAAGTCCTGACCTTGGCCCAGATTAAGAACTTGGCTGCAGTGCAAAAGGCCATTGCCCATTATGACCAGCAGATGGGCCAGAAGCTGCAACTGCCCACAGAAACCCTCCAGGAATTGCTGGACCTGCACAGGGCCAGTGAGAAAGAGGCCATTGAAGTCTTCATGAAGAACTCTTTCAAGGATGAGGACCAAGGGTACCGGAAAAAATTAGAGGTAATCAAGTTTTTTGCTATAGTCATGGGACTTAGGCATAATAAAAGGCAAAATGTTGCTATGAAATACAAAATGTGGACTTAAGAAAAACAATTCTTACTAGACTGAGAGATAATGACTATCACTTATGTGACCAAGATTTCACTATTATTCTGAAGACAAATAACAACAAAAAGCTTATAACTACCCTGTACCCTATTGCTGTTGTCATTATTTAGTCTTAAGTCATGTCCGACTCTTTGCAACCCCATGGACTGTAGCCCTCCTGGCTCCTCTGTCCATTGGATTTCCCAGACAACAGTATTGGAGTGGGTTGCCATTTCCTTCTCCAGGGGATCTCTTCCCAACACAAGGATCGAATGTGAATCTCCTGCATTGAAAGTAGATTCTTTACTACTGATCTACCAGGGAAGCCCCTAGACCCTATAGATTCTGAAATTTCACACACCGATAACTCCTCTTATTATGTTATGCCTGTAGACTAGTTTTTTAAAAGCAATATTATCCCTTAAAAATTTGTATTCATAAAGTATTAACTTTCCTTTTTTATTAATCAAGCATATAGAATTGCCAAAGGCTCTACTAAAAGATTATCTCCTCAGGTTTAATAGCATATGCTCATTATTCAGGCCAATTATCCATTCTACCTCCTGGAAATCCCAGGGTCTGGAAATCCCAGACTCAATATGATATTGAAACAGTAGTAACATCAGTTCAGTTCAGTTCAGTCACTCATTCGTGTCCAACTCTGTGTGACCCCATGAATCGCAGCACGCCAGGCCTCCCTATCCATCAGCAACTCCCGGAGTTTACTCAAACTCATGTCCATCAAGTCGGTGATGTCATCCAGCCATCTCATCCTCTGTCATCTCCTTCTCCTTCTGCCCCCAATCCTTCCCAGCATCAGGGTCTTTTCCAATGAGCCAACTCTTCGCATGAGGTGGCCAAAGTATGGGAGTTTCAGCTTCAGTGTCAGTCCTTCCAATGAACACCCAGGACTGATCTCCTTTAGGATGGACTGGTTGGATCTTCTTTCAGTCCAAGGAATTCTCAAGAGTCTTCTCCAACACCATAGTTCAAAAACATCAATTTTTCTAGCACTCAGCTTTCTTTATAGTCCAACGCTTACATCCATACATGACTACTGGAAAAACCATGGCCTTGACTAGACAGACCTTTGTTGGCAAAGTAATGTCTCTGCTTTTAAATATGCTATCTAGGTTGGTCATAACTTTCCTTCCAAGGAGTAAGCATCTTTTAATTTCATAGCTGCAGTCACCATCTGCAGTGATTTTGGAGCCCCCCAAAATAAAATCTGACACTGTTTCCACTGTTTCCCCATCTATTTCCCATGAGGTGGTGGGACCAGATGCCATGATCTTAGTTTTCTGAATGTTGGGCTTTAAGCCAACTTTTTCACTCTCCTCTTTTACTTTCATCAAGAGGCTTTTTAGTTCCTCTTCACTTTCTGCCATAAGGGTGGTGTCATCTGCATATCTGAAGTTATTGATATCTCTCTTGGCAATCTTGATTCCAGCTTGTGCTTCTTCCAACCCAGCATTTCTCATGATGTACTCTGCATATAAGTTAAATAAGCAGGGTGACAATATACAGCCTTGACGTACTCCTTTTCCTGTTTGGAACCAGTCTGTTGTAACAGTAGGTTGAATTTAAAATTAGGACTTGAGGCTAGAGATCTGCAGTCTGAAGATTCTATCTAAAGTAGAAGAGGCAAAAGAAAGGGGTGTCCAGAGACTTCAAGTATAAAAGTAAAGTCACTTTTCTACAGTGTATTATCCATGGAACTTTTTTACAATAGGTTTGGTAGGAAGAATATAGTATTGCTTGTAGTCTTTGAATCCCTCCCCCCACCCAAATACAGAGATTCTCTTTGTGAATCATTTCTAAAAATACTGAAGTGTTGGTAATACCTTTTCCGTGGGTCTTTGTCCCCTTAAAGATGCAGCTAGCAGCCAAACAGAATGACTTTCATAAACGAAACTTGGAGGCATCACTGAATGGTTGCTCAGCTTTACTTCAGGATATTTTTCATCCTCTAGAAGAAAATGTGAAGCAAGGGGTTTATGCAAAACCTGGGGGGCATTGTCTCTACATTCAGAAGAGAGAAGAGCTGAAGGAAAAGTACAATCAGGAGCCCAGGAAAGGAATACAGGTATCCTTGATTTTATGTATTAATTAGGGGGGAACTGTAGAGGGTCTTCTTTGAAAAGTCAATGACGACAGACAGGAAGAATAATAGTGGTGGAATTAAACTAGACTATTGCCATAATCACCAGACTTTTATTACAACCATCAACATTCATTGCAACAAAAGGACGTTTTTGGATACACAGGACAAAATCCCAGTAAATGAACTAACCTAAGAAAATAATTCATTGATGCACGTAAACTAAAGGCAAAATGTTTAAATTTAGCTGTAAGTATTAATATAAATATGTCCAAGAGTTTAATCAGTTGATTGCATGTAACAACATAATCAATGTTCCCCTTTCCTTCTTTCTTTCCTATCCAAAATCCAGCTTTTTCTGTTTTCCTCACCATAGACTTCATTCTCAGGCAGCCTCACCCCACAGGGCAGCAAAGATGACACCGACAGCTCCCAGCTTAACTAGTCCTTCATGACCTCAGTCTCATGGGAGAGAAGATATCTTTTCCGGCATCCATATCAGTCTTTAAAACACTCAAGTTGCAGTATTTTCCCACCTATACCCAAATCTTCTGCATCAAGCGGCTTTGGGTACTCCAATAGGCCAGCCTGGAGCTTGTGTCCACTCCTTGACAGAAGAAGCTTGACTGACAGTTTCACTAAGTACAGGCTGAGCACTTCTAGGGAGGAAAAGATGCTGGGAAGAAAAGGAAATAAAGAGGTTTACAACATTTCTAATCATTTTTTACTTCTAATTATATTTTTTCCGGTTCTTAGGCTGAGGAAGCTCTTCAGAAATATTTAGAGTCCAAGGAGTCTGTGAGTGTTATCATTTTGCAGACAGACCTTGCTCTCACAGCAATTGAAAAGGAGATCAAAGGTGAGGAAAAAAAATGGAAAAAAAATGCAACACAGAAATTCTACACATTTTAAGTTAATTTGACCTGGTTAAACCTGGGATCATTAAACTAAAGCTAGAATGCAAAGATGTACCATTCTTAGCTCCTCAGTCTATACCTGAATAGGGCATATACCCTCAGCTACCATATGATTACTTGCAGGCAGAAAAAACGACTAGGAAATTTTATCTATGAAGTAGCGGCAATAACAAATAAGGGAGGGGGGCAGAAGGAAGGGTACTTTAATCCTAGAGAGGTTTGTCATTTTCTTCCTCTCTGAGGTAGGTTTAAGAGAAGAGTTTATGAAGGCTGAAGCACAAAGGTTGATGGAAAGTCTAACACAGCATCAGCAGATGATGGAGCAGAGGAAGACAGTCCGTCAGGAACAAGTGAGACTAATGGAGACAAACAGAGTATACCAGGAGGCCCTGCAACAGAGGGCCATGGAACGTCAGCTCCAGGTACTCATCAGTTATTTCTTCTCGGGATTTTAGTCACACTCCCTTCTCTGTGTCAATGAGAACAGGAAGCACCAACAACAGGGAAGAGGCAGCATAATATTGTGGCCTAGGGCAAAGACTCTGGAATCAAATAGTGTGGGTGACAAACCCAGCTCTACCTCTTACTAAATACATTGTTTGGAGATAGTTATATTAATATTGCTTATTTTATAGGGCTATTTTGAAGCTTAAATAAGTCAATATTTGAGTGTAGAATGGTGCTTGGCACAGCATAAGCACTATAATTTGTTAAGCAAAATCCAAGGACATTTCTAACCCACAGTAATTAGTCTTTTTGTTATTTTGTTCATTTTTCTAGCTAGTCTTTTCCTTTGGTCACAGATTACCTTGTTGAATTAATCTCATATTACTATATCCATGCCCCTGTCTTTACCTTAATTGTTGCTGGTTCTGAAGACCTTTAACTTGTAGAGTTTGTTTCATCCAGTCCTCTGCTATTATTATCACTCAGTTGGCAGTGGTTTCTATCTACCAAGCACTGTACAAAGCACCATACACACATTCTTTAGCCTAGTCCATTCAGTGAATCAGGGCCATTATGCCCCCATTTTTCTGATTAGAAAAATTAAGTTCCAGAGAGATAATTAATGCCACTATCACACAGCCTAGCAAGTTATCAAAACAGTCTTCTCAGTGCGTGGGATCTGCATTGCTTTCATATCTGCAAACCTAGTCTTACATTCTTCTGTGAGACAAAGGGCATCCTCCCCATCATGGCTGGTCTACCTGTAGGTCCTTGTTTTCCAGGGACTGTTTCAAGACAATTTTGAGATTATAGACCTGCACCGAAGGGCAGTATTTTCAATCTAGGGTTTCTGATCTCATCCTTTCCTTCTATTTTAACCCTGTTACTGTGGAGACCGAGAACAAATTCCCTTATCTAAGGCTCAGACCCGTCACCTGATTGAGGATATCACCTAGACCACCCAGTTGAACTTTTGTAATGAGTTATAAAGTTGTGATATTGATATTCATAATGGATAAAATGGGCATTTTACTAATTTCAACCTCTCCTTGTGATACTAGATCTGATGTTCCTTTGTGTGTACATGAGAACTGAAGTCAAGATGTGATTCAGATTGCTTAAGGACAAAGGGAGAAGGGGCCTTAGGGTATAATTCTTGGGATACCAATATTTCAGGGATTGAGAGATGATGTTTCTGCAGCTATAGGAACAGACTGGGAATAAGAATTACACAAGTAGGAAACCAAGAGTAAGAGGTAAAATGAATATGAATGGAAAGGAGGAATTAGGGACCGTCTTTTATTACTGATTGTTTAAAATAAGTAAGAGAAAGTCAGTGACTGGGACTTTCCCTAAACAATGATTTGGACACCACTTTTTGCTCAGCTCTTTTGTTTTATGTATCACTCTTTAGGAAGAGGTGAAAAGGCTCAAGGAGAGATTCCAAG